GGAAAGTCCCACTCGGGACTCCAGTTCAAGGGAAGTACCAAACTCTAACCTTTGGTGGAGTATGGGAACCCCTTCTTGGGAGAATGGCTCCAGGATGCAATTGGATAGAATGTCCCCCAGACTGGCGGAAAATTCCTCGCTGTCTTTCTCTTTCTCACTGTCTTTGTCCTTTTCTCTCCTGGGGACCATACGCCAGGCACCTATTACTGTCAGGCAGAATAGGGAAGATGTTCAAGGGATGCCCCCATCATCCCTTGCTACAGGAACTCCATTGGGGGGATTTCAAGGTAATGGCTCCCTTTCTCTGGGACCATACGCCAGGCACCTCTTCCTGCCAGGCAGAATAGGGAAGATGTTCAAGGGATGCCCCCATCATCCCTTGCTACAGGAACCCCAATGGGGGGATTTTTCAAGGTAATGGCTCCCTTTCTCTGGGACCATACGCCAGGCACCTATTCCTGCCAGGCAGAATAGGGAAGATGTTCAAGGGATGCCCCCATCATCCCTTGCTACAGGAACTCCATTGGGGGGATTTTCAAGGTAATGGCTCCCTTTCTCTGGGACCATACGCCAGGCACCTCTTCCTGCCAGGCAGAATAGGGAAGATGTTCAAGGGATGCCCCCATCATTCCTTGCTACAGGAACCCCAATGGGGGGATTTTCAAGGTAATGGCTCCCTTTCTCTGGGACCATACGCCAGGCACCTCTTCCTGCCAGGCAGAATAGGGAAGATGTTCAAGGGATGCCCCATCATCCCTTGCTATAGGAACTCCATTGGGGGGATTTTCAAGGTAATGGCTCCCTTTCTCTGGGACCATACGCCAGGCACCTATTACTGTCAGGCAGAATAGGGAAGATGTTCAAGGGATGTCCCCATCATCCCTTGCTACAGGAACCCCAATGGGGGGATTTTCAAGGTAATGGCTCCCTTTCTTTCTCCTTTTCTCTCGGGGACCATTCACCAGGCCTATGCTGTCAGGCAGAATAGGCACCAGGCACCTGTTACTGCCAGGCATAACAGGGAAGGTATACAAGGGATGCAATGCCGGGGGACGCCCCCATCACCCCTTGCTATAGGAACCCCACAGTAGGAACGACGGGTAGGACGCTGCCCTAGGTTCAGGGGGGATTTTTCACGGTAATGGACCCGTTTCTTTCGTCTCTCTTAGAGTTACAATGGCCATTTTCGTCTCTGTTTGAGCTTTGCAACTGGGAAACAAAGAAATCTTTAAAGAAGTAAAAGGCTCCACCCCTGGGAGCCCCAACTTTGGGTTTCTGGGCCTGATCACCCCAGCAACCCTAAGTGGGGGTGCCCTTTCTTCCTTCGGGAAGAAAGGCCCCGGGCCATGGTTCCTCATAAAGCTTTGTTTAATTTTCTCTTGCTATTCTGTCTCATGTGAATTTAATTCGTTCTCCAGCCAGATGAACCCCCATTTGGGAAGAGGAAATGTCTTCCTCCCCTACAGTTTTAGTGCAGTCGGCAGAATAAAATT